TTCATCTTCAAATTCTCATTATTGGCTAGGTCTACCGCCTCTGATTGGTATCGCGACACATATTTGACAATGGATTCATTAGTATCCCCTATAAATTTAGTGAATTTAGAGATTTTCCAACCCCTTGGTAATTATGTCTGTGATACATAATCAGATAGTGCAGAGGAAACATTTGGCCTATGTAGACTAACACTAAGGCCATTTTGGGCCAAAATTTGTTCAACCACATTAGTTATATTGGTTTGTCCCACAAAATTGTTTTGTTGGGCATTTCTAACTACTTGGTCAACATATTGGTTTCTATGCACCATTATTACCTCAGGGCCATTTTGGCATGCATTTTCTTCGACTGCCCTTGGCATGGGTGGTTCGACAAGTATCGCCTGCTATGGTTTCTGGTTATTAGTAACCTGCTAAATTGGTGTTGGAGGAGCACCAAAGGAATCAACAATTCGACCCTTTTATTGTGCTAACTATTTGTAATTGTGTTTAGTGTTCTGAATCAAAAGATTGAACATTGAGCATATTTGTTAAGTTAAAATATTAACCATTTCGTGATTACTATCGTCCATCTGCTGTCTTACAGACTGGGAGAAAATTATTGGTTAAAGATGGCATACTTGGAGGAATATATGTTAATCTTTCTAGTGGTTATGCCATTCGACCAAGGTTGCTAATAGCAGACCCTGATGCTAAGTATGGATTAACAGGTGATATAATAACCATTGCATTATCTGCATACATAGATGCACTAGGGTGCAGGCTTGCTATCATCGGAGTTGGCATGCCATAAGGTTGTTCCATACCACTTAGAGGTAACATGAAACTCAAGGGAAAATTAGGTCTTTGGTCTCATATAAAATTTTGCATAGCTCTATGGGTAGTGGGCGTACTTGTTACTTGTGGTAAGGACACCATCATTTATGGTGATACATTCGAAACAATTATCTAACTTATAACAATAGGCATTTCTCCAACAGAAGCTTAAGTTCCTACATTTTCAGTCGTCAATTCAATTGGTTGTTCTTTTGAGTTCGGAGCATTATTTTAGGGAGGGGGTTTCTAGACAGTGGACATGCCATTTTATGAGGAGACTTTTAACTCCTCAGACACATACGCACTCGACAACCGAAGTCATTTCATAAACGAAGAACAAAAATTTGAAGAAAAAAACACAACCTTTCTGTAAAAATTAAACTCTTTACACAAAAGGGTCCCACTTGGTGTGGAATTTTTTTATTGTTGTTTTTCGTGAACAATCACGAGTTTAGTTCACATAAAAGACTAACTCAAAAAATCTCAAAGACAATTTATGCAAAGACAAATTATGGTGAAAAATGTGTGATTTGGATTTAAATGTTTGGATAGTGACCAATTGAATGCAAAAGATAGACTTTGGATAAAGGCAATAAACGACAAATAAAGTAAATGAAGTATATGCCATTTAATGTAAATGTTTTGAATACAAAAATATTTGCAGAAAGTTTAAATGGTGGACACAGTCTCACATGTTTCACAAATCGTTTTGCTCTATGGCTTGGAAACTTAGGTTATATAGAGAAATTGTGAGAATTTGCGACCTCGACTACAATGTATAAGCTTGCATTATATACGGTTACAAAGAAAACTGTCAACAACAGTTAATCCCTATAAATATGACATGTATCCCACTAGTTAGGTCTTCACACTCTAACTTTCTGCCATGCGTCTTCAAGGATATACCTGCTAAAAAACCAAACAAATATGGTGATAACAAGCGACAACCATCTCTAAAAATGTTGTCTTCCTCTGTAGAAGGAAGATACCTCTCCGAATCACATAGTCTTAGGACTTAAAAATATCCCAAGTCCTTAACACTTAAACATGTTGACTTCGACTTCTTGTCAAAAGGTTGTTATTTGATCTTTCAAGATTCTGAACATGTTTGGAAGTGAAAGTGATCCTAATCTTGTGGACCTGTTCTTGAGACTACTCCAAACTATTCTTTCCCTCTACTCCACTTACAGCTTAATTGAACCAACAGGTCAATACAACTAATATGTCGAAACTTCTGACTTAAGCTTTTATACACTTAGTAATGTCAACGTAGCTTGATCACCAATTTGTTGACTTTTCACTTAGTTAAAAATTACAGGCTAATAGTAATATAATTGCCCATATTTTTATCTTGATAATATGGGATTTTATTTTTGAGTTTTAATAATTTTTTAATGATAAATATTTCTTGTGTTTAATTTTAAACATGCCTTATTATAAATAATGGCTAAATACCTTTTCTAGTCCCTTAACTTTACCTCGGGATCCATTTTGGTCCCTTAAGTTCTAAAAGTAGAAATATAAATAATGGTTAAATACCCTTTCTAGTCCCTTAACTTTACCTTGACGTTTACTTTTGCATGCGTGGCATCTAAAAGATCATCAAAATTCTAAGAAAAATTCAAAAAATTGGCTTTATCCCAGGACTCAAACCAAGGTTATTCTAATTGAAGCACAATATGGTTTACCACTAGGTCACATTACCATTAATAATTTAATTTATAAATAAGATATATATTTACATTTCTTTTAGTTCTTAAACACACTCTTCTTGTCATTCCCAAACTACACTATTATTATTATTATTATTATTATTATTACTAGAGTTCAGACGGGTAATTGCGTGCCCGTCTGTCCGCTTTTTTAATGCACATAAAAATATAAACGATATTTTTTGTTAAAATATATTTTTTTAAATACAATATGTGAAATTTAATAATAAGAAGTTATGTGAAAGTTAATAATAATAAGTTATGTGGAAGTTAATAATAGGAAGTTATTAAGTAAATTACACAATAAAATAAGGGTAAAAATGGTAGAAAAATAGGCTACACCAAAATAAAGTATTCTTTTTATATATTGTATAGATTATTATTATTATTATTATTATTATTATTATTATTATTATTATTATTATTATTATTATTATTTTATTAATAATAATAATAATAATAATAATCACAATGATAATAATAATAACAATCATAATAATAATAATAATAATAATAATAATAATAAATAATAATAATAATAATAATAATAATAATAATAATAATAATAATAATAATAATAATAATAATAATAATAATAATAATAATAATAATAATAATAAGAATAAAACTAATAATAATAGGTTAAGTCTAAGGTGAGTGTTCAATTAAGTCCCTCACCAGTGAAACCCCGAACAATAACCAATAGATTAAATAGATGGTTTAGATTTAATATAATTAAAATGAGAACATGTAAAATCAATTACAACTAATTCCTTTTACACAAATATTACAATATTTTTACTTTTCGTAAGTTTTTTCAAGTAACATTTTGTTTACAACTTCGTCGTCATCTTCATTATTTTTCATAGTAATTAAAAAAACCCTTTGTCCCAAAAGCTACCACCTACAACACAACAGAGAAACAAGGTTTTACAAATTTCTCTCTATTGATAGTTTTCTATCAAAAACAAGGTTTCAATTACAGACTAATTGGACCGCCAACTTCACAAGACGGTTGGCCGACAAGGTCGTCAGAGAGGATTCTAAGGCTGAGATTCATTCAAATCAAAACCAAGAAAATTTTCAGGTAAAGTTTCTAGTTCTATAATAATTATTATTATTCTCTTTTAATTTTGATCGTTGGCTCTCTTTTCAGTTCAGATTCATATGTGAATTGAATGCGTTTTATTGTATCCGTGGATTGTAATAATGATAATGTTTTTATATTTTTGATGTTGATATTTGATATTTGATTGTGTTGAATTTCATTGGTATTGTTATGATATTTTGCAATTTTCAATATCGGAATCTCTCACTCTGAGATTGAAAATTTAACGAGAGATTATGCTAGGTAGTACACACTGTTTTTTCTACTTGTTCATTGATTACCACTTTTAATCTGGTTTTTGTTTTCATTTAAATTTGGGAAATTCTGAGTTTTAACTTGTTGGTGGTTAGGATTTTTTAATGTTATTAAGAATTGATTCTTATTCAAGTTATCCACATGTGTTGTTAAATGTGGAGATTTTTTTATTAAGAATTGATTCTTATTATAAGAATATAAAAAAAACCATTCTTGCATATTTCACTGTAGTAACCATCAGACGTTGGAGATGCCATGCTTCTCTTCCTAGCCTATTATTTTATGCATGTTGGAGATGTTAGAGATTATTGATTCCTTTAACTATAAATGATTTCATTAAAAATTATTTTTTAATTAAATTATATGAGTTAAAAATTATTTATTCAATTAGATTATATGAGTTTGTTTATGTAGTCTAAAATATATTAATCCCATAATTGGTTACATAGTTCGTGTAGGAAATAGAGAAAGAGCATTGGTACCATTTGTCGAATAGTTGTAGGCAGTATGGAGGTAAAAGGAGAAATTTTTAAATACTAGTATTATTGTACTTTGGTAGTTATGTTAAAACTAATGTTGTTTATTGCGATAGGGACTAGAAGACTTGTCATCTGGAATAGTTGTTGAAGCAACATGCGAGACCACTGTTGTTGATGACATCAGTGATGAGGATGAAGAATCTATTGAAAAAATTATAAATATTGATAGCATGGAGGATATTCTTGGCATGAACCTGACAAGATTAAAAGTCCCCATGAGACAAGGAAATTTCAATTTCCAAGTCTAGACATGGCTTATGAGTTTTACAACCAGTATGCTAAAATGAACGGGTTTGTAGTTCACAAGAGTAAGATCCTTCGAAGCAAGAAAGGAGAAATATTACAGCGGACATTTGTTTATCACTGACAGAGGTTTAGGGAGGATAAAGGTTTAACGATAGAAAATCGTAAGCGTGAGTGTAACCTGAGACTCGGTGTGGATGTGAAGCAAAATTTCGAGTGCATATAGACATGGTCTCACAATATTGGTGGATAACAATTTTTAATGATCAACACAATCATGAGCTTTTAGATGAAGAGTACCATGGAATGCTTGCTTCACATCGAAAAATGAAAGAGTCAGATATAATGCAGATGAACGACATGTTACAGGTTGGTATAAGGCCGTCTCAATTCTATGGTTCTTTTGCCAACCAATCAAAAGGGTATAAAAAAATAGGGTTTCATAGGAAGGATATATATAATCAAATAGGAAAGCAACGCCTTTTGCAACGACGTGATGGTAAAAATGCTTTACACTATCTTCGTGGGCTGCCATCAGATGATTCGATGATGTTTTATCACCACACTGTTGATGGAGAAGGTAGGCTTGAACATCTTTTTTAGTGCAATGGTATAAGCCAAATGGATTTCAAAGTTTTTGGTGATGTGTTGGCATTTGAAGCAACATACGAGATGAACAAATACCATTGCCCCTTAGTGATATTTTCTGGAGTTAATAACCATAATCATAATATTATATTTGGTGGTGCTATTGTTGCAAATGAAAAAGAAGAAACATATGTGTGGATTCTTGAACAAATTTTAGAAGCAATGTTAGGTAAGTCGCCTATATCCGTCATTACTGATGGCGATCTTGCAATGAAGAAAGAAAAATAAAGGGTGTTTCCGAATGCTTATCATAGGTTGTGTGCTTGGCATCTAATTCGCAATGCAATGTCTAACATTGGAGTTCCTGAATTTATTAGTCAGTTTAGGAAATGCATGTTGGGTGACTATGAACTATGTGAGTTTCGGCGCAAGTGCGATGACATGATTGACACATTTGGGTCGCATGACAACAAGTGGGTCACTGAACTATAAGCAAAGAGAAAGATGTGGGCTACAACTCATATATGCGGAAAGTTTTTCGCTGGGTTCAGAACTACCTCCCGATGTGAGGGGTTACATTCATAAATGGGGAAGTTTCTTCACTCACGATATAATTTAACTGAATTTTTATTACATTTTCATCGGTGCCTTAATTACATGCACTATAAGGAGGTCGAAGCAGACTAATTCACACTTAGTTCATCATCCAATTGAGCACAGTAAGTGAACTTCAAGACTTTGTGACATTAGAACTCTCATTTTTCTGGATTTTTGTTAGTGTTCTTATCATAGCTTTGTAATATGTCATGTTGTGCATTATGCTGTTTATTCACTGCATTTGAACTCCATACTTGTTTTTGAAAACTCCTATAAGGATGTTGTGTTTTTGTGCTGCCTCTTTTCACATGCTTGCCCTGCGTTATGGATTTGCAGTATTTCCTTCAAATTACACCTTACTCCTGAATGGAATTGTACATACTTTATATGCTTTTCACCTTTGAATTGTGTCAGAACCACTGTCAAGTCTTGTTTTGTAAGATATTTGGACCGTTTGATGGTGTATGTTCATGTTGCCTTGTGTGAATGGTTTTTTTTGTATGTTGTCATTATTTTGCTTATACTAATCAATTTTTATCATCTCTTTTCATGTGTATTCCATGTGTTTGGTGCGAGGACGAGGCTTTGGAGCTTTGTGATCACATTTGTGCATTATTTGTTTTCATGGATGGATATAGAAACTTGTGCGAGGCATAAGCCGTGGAGCTACCGTGGTCTTGGTGAAGATGAGAGTATGACACCTTGATAAAACTCATGAGTGTCAAATATGATTTGGGACAAAAAGTTTGTAACCTGACTGAATTTGGCTTGACCTTTGTAGATTTATATTTGTAACCCCTTTCCTTATGACATTTGAGTCTCTCTTTAGGCTTGTGTAAGAATGAATTGTTTGTGTATTGTCTTTTGAAACTTGGTTCATGGAAATTCCCTGTGTAACTTGACATGTATTTATAATAAATGACACTGGTTTGTGCTCTTTACCTCATAATAGAAAAAAATTGTATGTCTCATCATATTTGATTAGGCTTGTACATGCCTGGGTCTACCTTTGTGGCATAATGTGATACTGCTAGAGTTTTTGGCACCAGCAACTTGTTCTTATTTAAAAATGTAGTAGCTTTGTAACCTTGAGTATTGATAAGATGATTTAAGCTTAGATTGATCTTGTTCACTCTTAATTTTAATTTATGCACTTAGCATGACTAGGACAAAACTTGTGACCATGAATTATATTGAGTTTGCTTGCACTCGTGGTGGGCACAATTCTTGTAGAGTATTGAGAGGTTCAAGTTTTTGCTTGACATGAGGAACTTTAATTAAATAAATGCATGTGTATCTTGCAACATGATTCTCACTTATTTACTTCCAACCCAATTGTACACTTGTAATGCCATGTATAAAACACTTCCTTCAACAATTCCTTATATTTAATGCTTTGCTCCAATTATCTTTATGTGTCTATGAGCACCAAACTTGTAAAATATGGCCTTGATTGAACATGATCTTGAGACAAACTTGAGATTTCAATCATGACCACTTATAACATGCTTTTTACACTTTCATCATCATTCCACCATAATTTGAACATGCTCCTTGATCATAAGAAAATCGTGCCATGTACCTCTTGGATAAATTATTCATTAACTTGGCCAACAAAGCTAACTTGACAAAAAAATGAGCATGACCAAAGGATGACTAATCTTTTCCTTGAAGCTTGAAAAATAGTTCCTCGTGCAATATTTGCAACAAATATACCCAACACTTAGCATGATCCATCACATAACCTTAGGGTAAATCTTGGAACATGGCTCAAAATACCCAAAAGCAAAGCTTGCAATCCAATTGAAACGGGCTTCAAAAATCACTTGAAGATAAGTGTTCAAGTCTTGAAACGGATCTATCATATAACTTAACTACTTAAGCCATTAATCTTGTCATAGCTGTTTGGTCATGAGAATGATGACACTTGAATTCCACATATCTTACAAGAGCATGTGATCATAATAAACAAAACCTCCATGACCTAAATTTTAGAGGAGTATGGCCATAGTCTAAATGACCATCTAGAGAAAGACCATCAAGCAACACAATTATTTGTTAGTAAACAGGTAGGAAAATTTTGGGATATGACAGATGCCACGAGACTCGAGCATTGTTGGCGGCTTCCTTCTCTTTGTACTGAATGTACGCCTAGGCTTTGAGGAGGAGGGCGTCCAGTGAGAGAGGTGTTTCGATGCCAACTACTTTGGCAAAGTCACTGCGGGGGCGCAATCCTCGCTCGAGTAGGTACTTCTTCATATCGTCAGTAATGGAGACCTGGACGGCTTCTCGATTAAATCTCTCGATGTATGCTCGGGGAGGTTTGTCCTTCCTCTATATGATCACTTCAAGCGCCACCTAAGACTTCGGGTGGCGACGAGAAGCGGTGAAGTGCCTCGTGAACTGTTTTATGAGGTCCTTCCAAGAAGTGATAGATTCTGGGGCGAGGCTTTTGTACCATGTCATGGAACACTTCCTCAGAGTGGTAGGAAACAACCTGCATTTGATGGTACCTATGACACCACGAGAATCAAGCATAACATCGATGTTTTTGATATGCTCATCGGGATCCATTTTTCCGTCGTAAGTTCCCAAGCTTGGTGGTTTCTCCAACCCGACGGGGAGGGGAACGCCCACAATCGCTTGAGATAACGGGTTGCAGGGGTCATCATTATTGCTTCGGATGGTCAAGCATGATGAGAAGCGGACATACCGAGGGCCGTTGTCGCGGCGTGGTGAGTTCCTTGGCCGACCCTTCAATTTGCGCGAAGGAGAACGAAGGTCGTCTGGTCGTTCACCGACTTTGTTCTTTTTAGCACCCGGGGAGCGCCTTTCCTTGTGGGAGTACATTCACGCTTTTTGGTTACCATGGGTTGCGACCTCTCTAGCCGAGGGCGGAGGTCGGGTTGTCGCAGAGACGGGCTTCGGGACTCAGACCGTTGTTGCCTCTGTGGAGGATAGCGTGAACGACGATCTTTCTTCAGCATTTTGATTCTTTCATTTTGCTGGAAGATCAACAAGTTGTTATGGTTTATCCCCGCGAATAGGGCCACCGCGGTTGGGTCAACGTTGGATGGCATTGGAATTGGTTGAAAAACCTCCAGAGTTTCGGGGTCACTACAACATTTTGAATATACAGCAACACAAAAAACCGTTGCCTTTACATATGAGAACGATTTTCAGGACGTTCTAAACCAAGGCGTTGTTTTAGCCTTTAGGAACGGTCTAGAACAGCAACGGCTGAACGCTGTTTTCAAATATAGAGAACGGTCTAGAACAGCAACGGCTAAACGCCGTTTTCAAATTTAAACCATTGCGATTGTTGTTTATTAGAAAACGACTATTTTATGGAATATAGCAACGTATCTTAGCCGTAGCCTATTCTAAACCGTTCTAATAGAGGCTTAAGTTTATATTTTCTTCATAGGTTATAGCAACGCCTTCTTTACTACAGACACACTTTGTAACTGTTGCAAAAAAAAATTATTTTATTTTATAAACCATATAAATTTATTTATTTTTAATAAAATAAATTTTTATTTTATTTTATAAACCTGATAATAACATCATTTACAATTTTTTTATATAATAATATTCAAATACAAAACATCTTCAAATTGAAAATGATCCAACAAAACATTTTTTTAAAAAAAAACATCAATTTTTTTATAAACCTGATCTTGCATATAAAAAAAATACATGACATAATCCATTTAAATATTATAATGTCAATCATTGATTCACAATCAACAAAACATCTTCAAATTACATATCGTAATATCAACAAAACATCTTCAAATTACATATCCCAATGTCAATCATCATTCATAGTCAAAATAACATCTTTAATCTATAAAATTAAACTTAAACATCTACATCTCTACATCTACGTTTCTTCATCTTCAAATTTAAAATCTTCATTGATATTATCATTCATGACCTGCAAAATAAAAATAATATAACTTAAATAAGATTATTATTCGAAGGATCAAAAATAAAATAATCCATTCCAAGTAAATAATTCACATATATAATGCATAAGCAACACATACACAAGTATTCACATGGTCACGTATAAAATCCCTTAAAACATATGAATGTAACAAATCTTACTTGATCGTTAGTTGGAGCATGTGTTGATGTAGAAGAACGTAAGACACTGTTAGCATCAATTGCAGGAGTTGATATCAAAGCTGCCAAAGCCTCTATATTCAACTCGGAGGTATTTTGATTCAAAACAGTCTTAAGAAGAAGCTGAATTTTCCTATCAGTTTCTTCTTTATCTTGACGATGTTTTTCTTCCATCTCTTGTAACCTGTCATTAAATTGTCTAACTTCAACATCATGCTCTCTTTTAATTTTTGCAATTTCTTCGTTTCTTTTCAAGAGAGTCGGTGTTGTGGTTCTTCCGTGGCAACACAATCTCCCAGGTTTTTGTTTGCCCAATACGCTTTCAAAAGCTTCTGAAGAAGGTTTTCTATGATTTTCAATCAAGTCTTGAAGTTTTATCTAACATACATAATATAGTAGTTGTAAATGAAAGGCAAAGGACAATTGTCATTTGAACATTACTCATAATATACTAGTCTGATCCACTCCTAACAGAAATAACACTTAACAATAATAACTTACAATTGCATGGTTGGTTTCTTGATCCAACTCCTTTCCTTTCCTACTTTGTCGAGTAGAAATGAACATTTCAGCTTGAGTCGAAGGTTCTTTATCTTCATTATTTTCACGCTAAACCAAGTAAAACAAGAGTATGAGATTATTAATAAAATAACACAATTTAATATTCAATTAAAATATAATTTAAAAAAAATACCATTTTTTCTCTTATAACAGCAAAACCTTTATTTCCCATTTGATGTCTCCATTTCAGTTGAGCTATATTTTTGGCATTTTGATGACTGACTTCCTACATACACACACATGTCCAACACTTAGAATCCATACATACACATTTGCAATATACAAACCAACCATCCAATTTCATTCATATCACTTTAACACACCAATACATTAACTATTTCCTAACTCTTTTCCAATTTCTAACAATTGTTTCACTCACCTCTAATCTCTAAATAATTAACATAACAGTTCAAACAATCCAAACTAACGTAATTTATATGTTAAGTAACAGTACTTATTAATTTATATGTTAACTAACTACCAGTAACAGTTCAATACTTACTAAAAAGTACTTATTAGCATAACTTATTAATTACCATTTACTGTGATGGGCTAACTACCAGTACCAGTAACAGTTCAATAGTAACAGTTCAATACTATCTACCAGTTTAATATTAGTTAGCATAAGTTATTAATATGTTATCTAATTCCACCAGTTCAATATTACTAACAGTACTTATTCATTAGCATAACTTATTAATATGTTAGCTAATTCCACCAGTTCAATACTATCTACCAGTTCTACATACAATTAGTACAATTAGCAAACTAAGACCATTACTACCTACCAGTTCTACATACTAAGACCATTTCTACCAGTTCTACATACAATTAGATTTACTATCTACCAGTTCTACATACTAAGACCATTACTACCAGTTCAATTAACACAATTAGCAAACTAAGACCATTACTAACAGTCCTACATACTATCTACCAGTTCAATTAACACAATTAGCTAATTCCAAAATTCACTAACAGTTCAAACTAAGACCATTACTAAGACCATTACTCCTACATACTATCTACCAGTTCAAACTAAGACCATTATGTTACACCCCAAAATTTGCCCAACTTTTTGCTTTAGCTGGCTTTTGTTTCATTGCATTTATCATTGCATTCATAACATTAGCATTTGCATACCATAGTCCATGAACAGGGGATTGAGAGGTGTGTGCTTATCAAGAGAGGGCTATCAAAGGTCTAATCCTATTCAAGGGGTTATATTCAAGCTATCAAGTTCTTATCATTATCAGAAGAATGGCAAAGCTCATCAGAAGGAGTGGATTGGTTAAGAATGGGGTACCTTCTAACTTGGGGGTCATTTGAAGATTGTCAGATGAGTTTGAATCCATGGTTAGGGGTGGAGAACATTGTGAGAACTCATGGAAGACCTTGAGGGTCATATTGTAGCTTATGTCAGTCATTATATCAAGTGTGTGAAGCCACAGTCAAGATTGGTGCAATTAGGGTTTTCACTTGGTCAACCCTAAGTCAACAGTTGAACTGAAGGAGATTAAGACTCAATTCCAAGTCTTTATGATCATGTGATGTTAGGTTGAGACACATAGAAGATTATTCCAAGATTATCTCATCAATATTCAAGAGTGTGAGAAGTTGCTAGGCTAGGGTTGCTATGCTTGTCGGTGTAAAATCCCCTGGTTTAGCGCCTAACTTCGAGACCACATAACTCAAGATACAAGCCTCATCTCATCTTGACATAAACATGAGACTTGTAGAGCATGTTCATAGATTTAATTTTAGTACTAGAAGTCCTTGATTGGATTTATAGAACTCAAGTTATGAAGTAGACAAGTTACAGGTCATCAGATGAATCTGATTTTGGTACTTGAAAGTCAACCAACTTCCAGGACATTTTTGAGCTAGAAGGATGTTTCTCCTCAATCCTTGGCCAACATGAATATTGTTCCTCATGATATTAGATTTACAAAGAGTACTAGAAGTCTTTCATCTGATCTGTAGAACTCAAGTTATGAGGGTTACAAGTCAGGGGTATTTTAGGAAACTTTGATTACAGGTCATAAAATTACAGGTCAAGTTCACCACTTTGCATAACTCAAATGGAATTTTTTCCAACATGAAAGTTGCTCCAAATGGGGTCATTTAGTCAAATAAACCTCAAGTTATCAATGGGCTAGCTCATGGTTGAAGATTGGTGAAGGAGATTTTGTGAAAGGCATGTGAAAATCCAAGTTTGTGATCTTGCCAAAATTTAATCAAATATGGTCATATTTGTGCTCATTTTGAATGGAAAACATATTTTAAGATCATTGGTGACAAAATAAATTGCATTTGAGACATATTTCATGGGGTATTTCAAGCTTTCTTCATGTTTAAGTAACATAATGGATTATGGCCATTGAGATCCAAATAAGGGGAGATTATGAGCCATTGATCTTCCTTACATTGCAAGTAATGGAATTGAATCAAAAACAAGGGATTTTGGTCATGAATTCATCCACTTCCATGGGCTTCCATAAGCTTGAAAATCCAAAATCCATTTGATCCTTTCTCTCACAATTGGGCCCCCAATTTGCCACAAACATGTTCTATATAAACTCAGGAGTAAATTCATGATTTTTTTTGGATGAAAATTGGTGAAGAACAAGCTATTGCAAGTTGAAAAAGAGAGCTTCCAAGTGGTTTTTGAATTCTCCATTTCCCATCAATTCAAAGCATTTCAAGGATTAAAACACCTCTAGCAATCATCATTGAGTGATTATACACAAGTTTCCTGAAGAATTCGTGGACAATTGAAGCTATCCAACACCATTTTCAGAGGTATCTTCAATTCAAGATGACTCACTAATTATGGATCTTTTTGCTCCCATTTTTGTATCATTGCATTGCCCTGGATGTGAATTTGGATTATGGTATCTTTTTGGGCACTTTCGTGAAGATTTCATGTTCTTGGCGTTTCTTGGTTTGAGTACGGGTTTTGAGTTAGAGAGGGTTTCAGCTTGATTCAATGTGATATTATTATTCTACATGAAATTTGGAGCATGTTTGGCTCAGGAATCATTGCATTTGGTGGAGTTTTGAGTGATGTAGGGTTCTTGATCAGAGGTTGAAGACAACCGGAGTATTACCAGCCACCGTCCACGGCCAGCCTGCACATTCCCTCCCTTTTGTAATTCAAATGAAGAAGACGCAGGTGGACCATTGGATCTTGCTGAAAGATTGACTAAGTCTCTCCATCTCACGCGTATTAGCTTGCCACGCCACCCTCCCCCTCCAACGCTGCGTTTCACTTAAAGTTCAGAGTGGGCTTAACAATTCTTTGCTATTCACACACTCCCTCCTGGCCCGACCCAAAAAACAAACTACCTGATTTTGCTATTTACCACACGCCTTTGTTTATTTTCAGTTGCGTTTCTTATTTTTCTTATTTTATGCATGCTAGCTTTAATTCTCATAAAAATAGAAATATTGCTCATAAAATCTTGACAATTTTAAAAAACAATCTTGGACATGTTTAGAGATTTTAGGATTTGGAATTTCATTTTTAGGATTTGTTTTCATTTTATTATGATTTTTCCCATTTTAATTGCCATTAAAATTGTAAAATTGTACCTTTCTTCTTATGGATTTTCATTGAGGTACCAAAACAAAATATAAACTCCTAATCTTTTGTAGGATCATTTTATACATATTTAGGGATTTAGGGGTATTTTCTATGGATTTTATTGTACCTTTTGCATAGGTTTTAGATACCATCTTGTGTATGCTCTAGATTGCCTTTGTTTTGGGATACCCTTGAATGTTTTCCCTCTGTTTAGGCACTTCCTTATGGATTATTTTGCTACCCTTTGAACCTCTAATTCCTAACACTTTGCAGGTCCTTGGAGATTTTATTTGGCATTTTTAGATGCATTTTACTATTTTTGCCTTATTTTGCGAGTTGACTCATAATTTGGCACTTTCACTTGTACACTTGTATTGTTTTGGCTCCAAAAGCCATGTAATGCTTGTATGATGGACATTATGGTGACTGTTTCATGTTTTGGACTCATTATGGGTCTTGTGGACAAATTGGTGGACTTTTATATTGTGTGTAGCATTCCCATTTGCCTTTATATTTCAATGCTGAAACTTTGTACTTGTAAATGTCATTACATGAGTACCTTTTGCGCATTTCTCTTGGTTCCTTACCATTTCCCTTTTGATATTCATTTGTGGCTTAGGTTTTATGATTAGAATATGCCACCCTCTGTTCAATGACCTTGGTGTGTCATTTAAGGAAGTTTTAGGTCCCTCCTTTGGAGGTCTCTAAGGCATGCCTAAAGTGGTGAATCCTCGAGGACCTCTTTTGTATGTTTTGTGACTTGCTTTTTGTTGCATTTCTTCTCCTCCTCTCTTTGCATTTATTCATACTTTGGCTTGAGGTTGATATGAGCTTGTGGAGGCTCCTGCCCCACACATATTTCCTCCCTCACTTGCATTGCATCCTTACCTTCCATGTTTGCATTCTTATAATTATTTTCTTCTTCTTCTTTTGTCTTCCTTCCCTTAGGATTTCCATTCCTTCTTGTTCAAGTTGGAATGTGATAGACATTAGGGTCCTAACCATGCATGATAACATTAGGTAGTTCCCTCCTAACCTCAACCATAGGATGAACTTTGCATGACAACTTTAGGATTGGATTAGTTCCCCTTTAGTGCGTCCTTTCTCTTCTCATCTTCAAACATTCTTAAAACACTTAATAAAGGATAACACGTATTGTACGTTACGAGCCTTAAGCACTTGAGAAAGGGTTGTTGGAGGGTCCCTCTTCAATAGCTTGGGTGTTTAGTGTGGTACCCTTTGGGTGACATGCGACGCATTCACTCTTAAGTCCAAGTCTTTAGTGCAACATGAGTTACAAACAAAACTCAAAACACTTCTTCTTTAAAAGACTTCAAAAACAAACATCCAAATTCTTTTTGTCCTCTTGGACCTTTAATCATTGGAAACCATTTTCATAAGGAGAGTTTTGTTAACTCTCGGTTCTACCGCAAACGGTAAACGCCTAAGTCTCCAAAGGTCGAGCTGCATACACCAACTGGTAGAACCGTCTGTTAACTCTACTCAGGTAAAACATTTTGAACCAACCTATGGTCTTGTTAGCCCGAACTACGTTTGCTCTGATCTTTCACGCCGTGTGAAAGTAC